AAATGACAACATTAATATGTAAATGACTATGGTTAATATATTAATAAAAGGAACAGTAATTTTTTTTATATTTTTTTTTATATATAAAATTTATTATAATTAAAATTAATACTCACCCTTCTCCACCCCGCCGCGGGGATCGCGGGGATACCCGGCCAGCCGGTGACCTACTGTCTCTTTATTTGACATGTCTAGTGTAATGCTAATGTACGCCGTAACTGTCCGTAAACTTCAATAGTAGAACCGAGATTCGTGGTATTATGCCGGTCAAGTATGTACGTCGACAGGTGCTCGTTCAAGATCAGACACGGTGTCACTGCGCGTCAATTATAATTGCCTTGCGTGGGGCATCCATTACATCGACGGACTTCGATCTGTAGTAGAGCCTCGTCGTCTCCGGAATATCTATTGTAGGTACTTCGTCTCGGCTGTCGTCCTTCTGAGCTCGTGTGTCGAAGTGTGAAAGTATATTATAGATATTTTTTCTTGTGTACGTACAGTACTACAGTGTATTGTCAGTGCCGGCGTCTAATGAGGCCCAGGGTCTGGGGGGTAAGGGGTTTTTATACAAATAACGTCTAGATGTACTTTACTGTACCTTTAGGACTGTTTTACTTTTGAATAAACGTTGAAGTAATTTGCAATAATTGCACGGATTGAGGTCATTAAGTGTTTTTTAAACTGTCTTAAGATGTCTAAAGTTACTGATAAGTCACATGTTTCCTGCCTGGCCTTGCCCGTGTATGATTACCCTCTCTCTTCTGGGCGCTAAGAGAAGAGCCCTCTACCAGTGCAGCAGCAGCCACTAGCAGCTGACTTTTGCTATCTGTAAACTATGGCTCCGAAACATAATTTCAGCCAATCAGCGTCGTCAAATCTGATGATCACCGGGCGCCAATGTCAGCGCCCGGTGCAGGGTTATGGCTAGAAAGGATCCGTCTTGTGTAAAACTCTCGCGAGAGTTTGCGAGTCACGTGGCTGAATGTTTACGTTTGACAGGCAACCTTTCAGTTACGATCGTTAACATCAGTGGGCCACAGCAAAAGATGGTGAGAAGCTAAACTATCTATTAATTATGTCAATTACAGGGTGTGATTGTAACTGTGTGTGTGACTAGCTGGATGCAAAGAGGTAAACACTGTCTTTTGTTTCCCATGCTTGCTCTTCAAACAGCCGGGGACAGATACTCTGTGCCCGTGCTAAATAAACACACACACACACACACACACATATTATTTGTAGTTTGACAGCATCCATCAAACTAGATGTTTTGCCTAATGGTCTGTTTTCTAATATTTCTGTGTTTCTGAACCACGTCTGTGTCTGCATATAATGTTCGTATTTAGTCTCCTCAGGGTTCCCGCGGGGTCTTAAAAAGTCTTGAATTTTATAATCTGAATTTTAGGCCTTAAAAAGGTCTTAAATATGAAAAAAAAAATAAGAAAGGTCTTAAATATGATTTAGAAGGTCTTGAAAATGATGGGATTTGAAAGGTACTTCTGTGTTGCGATAGCGTCTAAATGTGTTTTGGGGGAAATGTCCGGGCTGCAAAGTAACCAGTACGGTAATAGCCTTTCAGTTCCCCCCAACAATTTGTATTGAATTAAATCAACATGGAACCAGTAATCAC